CACCCTCACAGCCAGGAATTCCTTCCCAATATCCCAACTAACCCTGCCCAGAGGGCAGTGGGAAGCCATTCCCCCTTGTCCTGTCCCTTCGTCCCTTGTCCCAAGTCCCTCTCCAGCTCTCCTGGAGCCCCTTTAGGCCCTGGAAGGGGCTCTCAGGTCTCCCTGAAGCCTTCTCTTCTCCTGGTGAACACTCCCAGCTCTCCCAGCCTGGCTCCAGAGCAGAGGGGCTCCAGCCCTTGGAGCAGCTCCATGGCTGCCTCTGGACTCTCTCCAGCAACTCCATTTAATTTTTATGTTGTATCATGTTTGGGTGGGAAGGGACCCTTAAAGCTCATCTCATCCCACCCCTGCCGTGGACAGGGGCACCTTCCACTATCCCAGGTTGCTCCAAGCCCACCACGTTGGTTCTTGAGGGGCAGCCCTGGTGAAGCAGCACATGGGTTGGGGTTTGCTCCCCATCCCTTGGGAATGATGAGGCCACACAAATCCCACAGCAGCAGCCATGGCCCTGGTGACACAGAGACAGGGACAACACCTGGGGCTGTCCCCTCTTCTTTGTGTAACCTCACAACCAGACCATGGCTCCCCCTGGTTTATCCTGCAGGCAGCAGGTGAAGCCTTGCTGTTCCTAGCCACATTTATTTATCCCTTTCCTCTAGTCTCCATGAAAACAAGTGATGATATTCCCACTGCTCTGGGAGGTCAGGCTGTGCTGGAGCTGCTGGGAGCCCCTGGCACAGAGCAGAACAAATGCCAAACCGAGAGAAGTGTAATTTCTCTGCAAAGAGAAAGGAAATAAGTGGCAAGAGAGTTGAAAAGCACTAAAAGTGAGAGGCCTGACCTTAATACCACTTCAATTATTGAAGAAGATTGTCTTATCTCTGTGTTTGGATGGGTCTGATCAAACCTCACACTGCTGAGGGCATCTCATCCCTGTGCACAGTCAGAGCTGACAGGTTGGATCCACTGGGGACCTTTGGATTGCTTTTTATCAGCCTTCCTGGAAAAGAGGAGCAAGGAGAAAAAAAGAAACAAACTAGGTGCTCTGAGCTGAGCTTGATCCTACAGAAATCAGGGCTATCAGGGGAGTTCAGGCTTGGCTCTAAACAAATAAACACAGAAATACAGGTAGTCCATGTGTGCCATGTGAGGTTGAGCTGGAGATGGGGATGGTTCTGCTGGGAACCAGAGCCAGATCCTGGGATTAGGTCATAGAATCATTAAGTTTGGAAAAGACCTCTAAGATCATCAATCCAGCACCATCCCCACGTTCAGGACCATCACATTCCCCTGAGCTGTCTGAATTGTGAAGAATGTGAAATGTCCTCCCTCATTAATTTATCAATGCCATTATTAATTCCCTTAATAATCACAGGATGATGGAATGCTGCCCCAGGAATCCACTCTGCAAACTAGAGATATACGAAGTTAAAACTCATCTTTCAAACAAGGACTGTATGAGTTGGAGGGAGACATGGGTGTGCCCCACCTCCAGTATTTTATGTTTCACTTCCAGGATGTCCATCAGCCCCTCCCTAGGGGAGAATGGGGAATGCAGGAGCTGATGGGAATGTCCCAATAGATCTTCTGTCTTTCCACCCACCTGATACACCTCATTTGTAACCCCAACCACAGTAATCTCCTAACCCAATTCCTTGGCACACAGTGCACTATTCCTTGTGCACACCTCGGGCTGGAGTCCATCTCCATAGGGAATCCTGGGAGAAGTCTCCAGCACACTGTCACTATTTTTAAGAATCACAAACTCTGTTTTCACAACCAGAAAGAACCTCTTGAATAATTTAATCTGATCTATAACAAAGATCATAAACCATATCCTTGATACAACCTCTTGTCTGAGCTCCAGCACAAAGTGTGGAGGGTGAACCCAACCAAAAACTGGTTCTAAGAAAGAATAAAAAATAGTAAATAATAATAATAAACAATAAATAATGAGAGTCATACCTCCAGTCTTGCTTCAGCTCAGATGAAGTTATTCATTGCTGAAGAGCAAAGAAGTTTTGTTTGTGCCCAGGCTGCCCTGGTCACTGATCCCTGTTTGCCAAAGTTTAGCTTCTGGAGCCTTTTGGTAGAAGAGCAAAAATCAACTTGATGACAGAATTTGCTGCTGTATTTAACAGAATAAACATGATTGTGGTGGGTATCTTGAATATGCAATTTTTTTGCTGCAGCCAAGCCCTTCCCACTGCTCTGCCCCGCAAAGGCTTTTACACCTGTGCTCAGCAAACACTGGAATTCTCTCAGTGCAAAATGGTTCATGGTCTCAGAGCAGATGAGAAGCTCTGAATCTTTAATAACCAGATATTCAAGAAGATAATATTTTTGGCAAGTGAAGTAAAGAGTTATTCAAAGTTTTCAGCTGTTTCAAAATCAACATTGGTCCCCAAAAATTCCCAGAAGGTGCCGGAGAGCTTTCCCAAGGGCTGCCTGGGAGCCATGGGGCTTATCTTCATTGAACCATAGAATCCCAGGATGGTTTGGGTGGGAAGGACCTTAAAATCATCCAGTCCCACCCCGTGCCATGGGCAGGGACACCTTCCCAGGTTGCTCCAACCTGGGCTGGGGCAGCAACAGCTTCTCTGCGCAACCTGTGCCAGGGTCTCAGCACCCTCCCAGCCCAGAATTCCTTTCCAATATTCCATCTAACCCTGCCTTCCTTCAGCTTAAGGCCATTCCCCCTCATCCTATCCCTACACTATTTTATTTTCTTTAATGAGGAAGAACACGTCAGGCTTGCAGGTTCCACGTGCACATCAGTGGTTTGTTTCCTTGTTTTCTGGCCAAAAAACCAAGATGCCATTGCTGAAAATGTCTTGACCACAAGGAACTGCAAGGGAACTGTAACTCCCAAAGGGTTTGGGGACAGGTTTGTGCTGCATTTTGTACAGAAGATACTGCAGCAAGTACATTGTATCGTGTATGGGATCAAATGTATGTTCAAAGGACATAAATCCCATGGGAAAGTCCTGCAGAGTTTAGTAAGGAATTTTAGTAAGGAATACAGACCCCCTGAGCAGTTGAAATGATGCTCCTGAGCCAGGTGAGATTTACACCAGCTTTGCACCTCCTCCATCTTGCACCAAGCTGTGCTACAGGACTGGGGTAGAAGTATGCCCAAAGGCAGCACGCGCATATGGATATATTCCCATATATCCATATTGCCCTGGAGAAAAGAAAGAATAGATGAAGAAATCAACAGTAATTAGTGGTTTAATGTGTCTGAGCCTTGATTTAGTGTCAGTCACCAACCACAGGCAGCAGATGAATGAATTAAAATGGAGCCAATTTGTGGCTGGGTATTTATTAGCATTGAGATAATATTCCCCATCCATCATATCCAAGGCATGTTCCAAAGTGCTTCTGTGTCCTGAGTGCCCAGAGGCCCTGTAAATCCCCTTCCCTGGATCCTGCCCACAGTCAAACACATCCACCTGCATGAAGACATTCCTTGTGATGGAAACAAAGATCCAAAGGAGTCATAAAAGTGAGAGGCTGCAGATGGAGACAGAAGAAATCCAACCTTTCCCTGATGTACAGCTGGGATTTACAACCTGCCCAGCATAGATTTGGGATTATGGGAATAAAATCCCAGCTGCCATTAAGAGAGACAATTTGAAAGCACCTAAAAATTCTTTATTCAGAGGGTTGGGAGGCCCTGGCACAGGTTGCCCAGAGAAGCTGTGGCTGCCCCATCCCTGGAAGTGTCCAAGGCCAGGTTGGAGCAACCTGGGCTGGTGGAAGGTGTCCCTGCCCATGGCAGGGGGTGGGACTGGATGAGTTTTAATGTCCCTTCCCACCCAAACCATCCTGGGATTCTGTGGTTCTACCAGAGACTCTTTAGCAGGGCACAGAGGGGGAACCCCAAAACTATGGAAAAGGGATTTTAGAGGTTCCAGATAGGAAAAATTAAACACAACAGTAAAAAGATTTGATTCCTCTCTTTATCCAGAAGAGAAGTAACCATGGAGGGTATCAGGTTTAGAGAGGTCTGAAGGACAGATCCCTCCCAGCTCACTCCTGGGAGCACTCTACACTGGAAGGAGCCTTGTTTGTGCCATTTCAATTTAATTTTTAATTTCTACAGGGCCATCACTTTTCAAAGAACAGGTTCTTACCATCAGCCACTGCCTTGTGGAGAGGAAATAACACAGAGGCTCATGGCTCCACTGCACTCTTGGAAAGCACCTTGTTTTCCTCTGGTTTTCCTCTCCAGCTTCCCAGAAATCTCATCAATTTTTGATTCAATAAACCCCTAAGCAAGGGGCTGAAATTCGTGATATGGGAAATTAAACATACACTTAAACACTTTGATAAATCAAGGCCTATAAAAATTGAACAGCAAATGAATATTTTCAGGGAGGTTTCTACTTTGCTAAAGTTTTAATGAGTTTTGACCTCCCATCCCACTTTCAGCATGGGAGACGTGTTATAAAATCTTACATCATTTCCAGGAAAAAATAACTTTTTACCTACCTTTATTAAAGAAAAGAAATTGTTCTGGGTCCTAAGTGGCTGTCAGTGTTAAATCAGTCAGGTTGTTCGGGATATGAGCAGCTGTTAACTAAAAACAAACAAAGGGAAAATAAAGCAACCCACTGAATAATGAGATGAGCCTCTCTCTATAATGATTATAAATCATTCATGTTGGTTAATTTATTAATTTATTTATGGGGCTTGATATTCCTAAGGCACATCACGTCTTGAGTTTTTGTTATGGATTTCCATGATCTCTGACAGCACAGTCAGGTTTGATGATCCTTTCCTGAGAAAATGGCAATGCCTGAGCTGTTCCAGTGGCCACAAAGACCTAGGAAGGGTGACAGAGCATTAACCCACAACCCAAATTTGACAAACAGATAAGCTTCAGGCTCTCAGAGTGAAATGAGGGAGGAGGGTAAACAGGTACATTTGAATTCAGGAACAATGGCATGTAACTAATGAAAGTGCCACACAGCCCCAAACAACGAGGAAATGCTGAACCAGCACTTGAGCTTGCTGAGATTCCTGAGCAAATTCTGGGGATAAAATACACTTAAAAGAGCAGGGAATTGATAATACATAGAACTCTTTCTCCACAGTGCAGCATCTCCCCTTTTCTCCCAGCACACACTCCCAGGAGAACAGTCCAGGGGCAGTGCAGGGATCTCCAGGGATTCATTCATGGGCACCTCTACCCCCTCTACCGCCTCATTTTGAGCCTTTGGCCAAGCTGGGGCTCTGTGAAAATGTCCCTGCCCATGGCAAGAGGTTGGAACCAGGGGGTCTTTAAGGTGCCTTCCATCCCCAAAGTTGGGATTCTATTAAATACATTAAAATCTTATTTTTCCTTTAGGTTGGAGATGCAGAAATTTGTGTCCTTCTGTACAAGGAGTCACATCACGGACATGCAATCATGAAAACACTGCATAAATGTAATGCAGACCTACAGAAATCTTGCAAGATCTTGCAAGAGGAATCAGTTTTTCTAAAATTGACAGAGCACACATTGAAGAGACCTGACAGGTCTCATTTGAGACACTGGCACTGTCCTGCTCACCTTCTGCCCTGCAGGGCCAACCTCGGGTCTATAATACGCATCCTACTTCTATTTTTATTAAAAAATAGAGTAATGTGAATATTGAATAATTCAAAATTCAGAAATATTCAAAAATGGGAGTTACAGATTAATATTTCAAGGAAGGTTCATGGTTCTTCCTGGATTATTGTATTTTACTGACACACAAACAAGAATGAACCTCATGGGGATGAGGCTGTGGAGAGAAAAGACCATGACCTGATCTAGTGGAAGATGTAGTGGAATGAAATGAGCTTTAAGTTCCCTTCCAACCCAAACTGTTCTGTGATTCCATGGAAAGCATCATCAGGGAATGCAGAAGCCAGTCAAGGGCTTCTCAAGATGAACAGCATTTTTATGGAGATTTTGTTCCCCACCTTTCTGCTCACTCTTTCAATAGGAAAGTTGCAGTAACTTGACTTAAAATTAAATGAAGCTACTTCTATGCATAAAGTCAACCAACCAGTTAATTAGTTTCCCAGTCAGCCTCTTTTTTGTGAGCTGGAAGGAGGGGAGACATTAATGTTCATTTGTCTCACAATTAAATATTTTGTTTTTTAAGGAAGGATTGATGCTTTGCTGCCTTTTCTCTGGGAAGAGCTCTGGAGTGTCTGTGTCGCCCTCTAAAAGAAACGGAACGTTCACCAAAATCGCACCGTGTTTTAAAAGGAGCATCTCATTTCTCAGCTCAGAGCTGCTTGTTCTGTGGGCACACAGAACATGCTCCTGCACCTCAGCACACCCTCCCAGGGATGGAGTGACAAAGTAACAAGAAGAGAGGCATGGAAGGGAAAATGGAGGAAGAAAATCCCTGCGAAGGTCTTGCTCCCTATGGAAACCAGTTGTCTCCTGTGCTTTGGGAAGAGATGGCACCTCTAGCACTTCACAGCTCTTCCTTTCCTGAGTGACCTTGTCATTAACACAACAGCCCACAGCTAAAAGCAGAGCTGCCCTTCCCCAAACTCTCCGTCTCCAGGACACCAACACCTGCTCATGCTCCTCAGACCCTTAAAGCCGTGAGGACTTCACTCCTTGCTGCTTTTCTAGTCGGGATCCCCTTGAGAAATAACAGCTCCCGGCGGCTGTCTGGGCATGACTTTGGCTTTAGAAGGAGCAGAGGCAAAACCCCTAAAAGCAGGGCTGGCCAAGGAGTTTTGCTGGAGCACAAGAGGCTGTTGAACAGGCTGCGTTCTGGCCCTCTCCATCTTTGTGTGGGGACACAGACATTTCGTGACCCTGCCACCACTTCCTCGTGAGATCAGATGATTTGCTCTGTCTTGGCTGGGCGGGTGAGGGAACAGCAGCCTTGGGACAGTTGGAGGGTGAAGTTCTTGAGGTCCAGACCTGTCCTAACCCTTGGCCAGGGTCCACTGGCTCCTGAGGAACAAACATCTGAGGGGCTGCAGGGCTGGAGTTGTGTCTCTCCACAGGGACAAGGAGGCAAACACTGCTCTGAACCCATTTCCCTCCCAGGGTCTCTGTGGCTCTGGCAGGGTGACAGTGGGGACAGTGCAATGGAACACTTCAGCAGTTGTGTCTGTGCTCAGAGCTGAGGGCTGGGTGTGTTATTCCCGCTCTCAGAGGCAGAGGAATCAGGGTTTTTTAGAACCTCTGTGACAGTTCATCTCCAGTGCTTTCACCAGAGCAAAGTGAAAAAACACCGAATTTCTCTGTCTGTAGAAATATCCAGTCTTAGCAGGGAACTGCGTGGAAATCAATTGTTTTCCCATGGATTATGGTAAGAACAGTGGGAACAGGGCTGTTTGCTTCCTTAGAAAACACCAGCAACCCATTATCCGCTTTAGAAGCCCCACTCTGCATGAATTCTGGACTGACCATTTTTATCTGCCCTCTGATTAAACCTTAAGACATTCAAGACTATCATTAATGACCAGATTCTCCAGTAAATATTTGGGAACGTACCTCAGGTTTGAGGGCTTGCCCTAAACATGGACAAAGGGAAATTGTTCTCTGATGATTTTAAAAGAGGAGCCTGGAGTGTGGACATCTCCCACAATGTTCCACCAAGCAGAGAAATAAGCACCCTAATAGGCTCTTGCCCACAGATTCCTAATCTTTCTTCCTTTATCTCCCTTAATCATCCTGCTACATTCTTGTGTCTCCACTGGCTCATGAAAACTCCCAAATATGTGGAGGGGATGTAAGAAGCAAGAGATGTCTCATCTTGTAGGGGAAGTGATGGGTAACAAGACTTTTACATCCTTAATCTAATGCTGGAAGATCTTGGAGACTTCAAAGTTAAGATCAGTGGTCCTGGATTAGTGTGAAGAGGAGCAGATTTAAAAAAAAAACAAAACGGCAAAGCATGGCTAAGAGCCCATTGCTTGCCTCAACCAGACATCCTGATCCTCCTGCTGAGCTCAGTGGAAGTGCCCTGGGCAGTGCAGCAAGAGGAGAATAATCAGACACTGGTGAGGTTGAAATTTGGGTTGCAGGTCCAGCTCTGGGATGAAATTAGGGTAAGATTAAGCAGTAATACCCTGTAATTAAGATTAAAAGTTAACAGCATCCTCCTGTGCATTTTGACCATACCAAGCAGCTCTCAGTCCATGTCAGGCTGTGCCAGAGGGGCAGCAGCAGCATTTTTACATCCATGGCTGCCTGAGAGGAGAAACCTGCAAACAAAATCCCAAGTTGCCTCTCCTCTCCCTGCTCTTCTAGAGCACACTGGAAGTTCTGCAACAAGTATGTCT